CGCTTGTTGGCAGCCTACTGGGCGGAGAGTGCCATTATGGGTTGTGCAAAACAAATTGCAGCGTAAGTGGGGACACTTGGGCCTGTCTCAAGTTACGCCCCTAGGAGCTGATTGCTTCCTCGTCTGGTTTGAAGATGTTGAGGCTAGAGACAAAGTGTTGCTTGGAGGACCGTGGTATGTTGCCGGTCAGATTATTGGGATCGAACAATGGAATGCTGGGTATCTATCCAATCCGGTAAGGAAGTTCTCTTCTCCGGTTTGGATTTGCCTTCCCAACTTGCCGTTGGAATACTGGGATGAAGCCAATCTTGCTAGGATGGCTGCTGGGGTGGGAGAGCCAATGTACATGGATGAACAAACCAAAGGTGGGATCGATGCGCGTTTGCTCGCATTTGTGTCCGGTTAGACCTATCAAAGAAATTGCCTAAAGGGGTGTGGGGAAATGATCTGAACGGAGCCTTCTTCCAACCGATCGAGTATGAGGGCATCCCATTGATTTGTCAGAAATGTGGGAAAGTTGGCCATAAGGCTGAGGGGTGTAGGGGCTCCTTGCCCTCCAACAGAGGGGGTCCTCTTTCTCGGGGACATGCGGTAACAACGACCAATGGCCAGTCAAAGGATATGGAGGTGGATCGGAGGAATGAGGATAATCAGGCTTCAGCACCGAGCCTGGTGGAGGGGGAAACAACCACGAGGAATGAGGAGCAAGGGGAATGGACAATTGTTACCAGAAGAAGGCGATCGAGATCGACAAAATCCGGCCCTAAAAACCCGGAGATGAATAATGATCCACCTAATATGAATATGAAGACTACATCCGGCACCATGTGGAAGGTTGTGACTGATGGCAACGTCCCTAGGGGGGAGCCGAATCAAAAGATAGGTGTGTATGGTAAGGAAATAAATGTGATCCCAAAACAATCAGGGAAGTTGACTAGTGCTGAAGGCGGAGAACTGAATAAGTCATCGATTGGTCTGACTCATCCAATGATTGAAGCTAAGGTTAAAATGGACAAATACCCAGCTGATATAGAAATCAATTTTGAACACGGTGGCCCTTCGTCACCAAGATTGGCTGATGTTGGGAAACTGACTCAGGGAGCTCCGGAAGATAATCTGATTATAGACTCGGACAGTAGTAAGGCGCGGCAATCTCAAGAAGTGGGAATGGAGGAATCCAGGGCTGAGGATGATGTTCCTACACTTGGATTGGTGTGTAGACCGGCTGCCAATCGGAAGACCCGTAGGGGAAGCTCGGCCTCTCCTGCCCAAGCTTTGGCCCCACAGGTGTTAAGATTCTCAGGTTCCAAATCCAACCCCCTTAAGACTAAAATTTGGAAGGCCAGGGAGGCCAAAGACAAACGTTCGAAGGAACTTGGGAATTATGGCACATTCCAAAAGCTACCTGGAGTCAGATGGAGTAAAGACCAATTGAGACTAGAGGTTTCTCCATCCAGAGCACATGCTTTAAATGTCATGGACCGGTCGTCCATTGGAAGGATTGAAGGTGACTTCGCGGATCAATGGCAAGAGGTGTTTACAGAGGTCTTCTGCGGTGGGGACGCTTCCCCTTTGGTGGATAATGTCTAGTCTTCTCTGCTGGAATTGTAGAGGTGCCCGTAAGAAGGAAACAGGTAATGTCTTACGGCACCTGGTGGGGGAACACGGAGTCAGTTTCATTGGCTTGTTCGAGACAAAGATGGAAACCATTACTAGACAGGACATCGATAGGTTGGTGGGTAGGCACTGGGATTTTTGCTACCAACCGTTGGTGGGCAGAGCCGGGGGTATTCTTGTGCTTTGGAAGGGGGCGATTGGTGCGTTCCAGGTGCTCTTCCAATCGAACCAATGCATTATGGGGACTATGAACAGGTTGAATACGGTTGGGTGGGAGATTGCTATGGTTTATGCAAACAATGACAGATATGTCCGGAGACAACTCTGGGAGGACATCTCCCGCCATCATACTGTGGATGTCCCATTGGTGGTTGGGGGAGATTTCAACTGCATATTGCCGCCTGGGGAAAAGAAGGGTGGAAGACCTTTTTTTTATTCACAAGCGGCGAGTGAAATGGGTGATTTTATGGCGGCAAACGACCTGATTGATCCGGGGTTCACTGGTCCGGCATACACTTGGTCTAACAATAAGGATGCTAGGAGCAGATCTACTGCCGGCTGGATAGATTCTTGGTTAGCTCGGCCTTGCTGGACATGTTCCAGGGGCTGACGGTGTCTCACTTATCTAGAATTACTTCGGATCACTGCCCCATTCTGTGCTCCGTTCAGGAGGATGGCAATAGAAGGTACTCACGGTGGATCAAGTTTGAAGATGTGTGGGCGACGTTTCCTAAAGCTTGGCAAATTGTTTCAGAGAAGTGGAAGGTGAATGATACTGGATCGGAGGCTACTAAATTGCAGAAGAAGTGTAAACGATCACTAAGGGCACTATTCTTCTGGAGTAGGAACAAGATAAAGATGTTAAACCAGCTGAAAGATGATCTTGACAAGGAAATTAGGATCCTTCAGAAGCTCGAATGCTCCCTGACCGGTATCACTGAGATCCAATCTGAGTCTTTGAGATATAAGGTACAGTTACTTAAGGCTACGTTGGCTAAAATTACTATGTGGTGGGGGCAACGCGCCAAGGTGCGGTGGATTGAGGAAGGGGACGGGAATAACCGTTTCTTTCACTCCATGGCCTCCGCAAGACGGCGATCCAACCAAATTGAGCAGTTGCAAACTTCGGATGGGCTGATCGCTATGAAGCAGACTGATATCTTGCGGATTGTTCATGATTTCGTTGCACAAAAGTGGAACTACACACCTATTATAGAGACGGGATGGCCATCCTTGGAGTCCCGGTTGGCGAGCATGGAACAATTTGCCAGACATTTGGACAGGGAGATTACGTAGGAGGAGATCTGGATGGCTATCAAATCAATGGGGCCGAACCGTGCGCCTGGTAAGGACGGTGTTACGGTATCCTTTCTTAAGGCATTCTAGGACATTATTGGAGAGCAGATTACTTCGGCGTGCTGGGAGTTTTTTTCTTCTGGACAAATGGATCCGACCTGGAAGGTGACAATTGTTGTCCTGTTGCCGAAGGTGGATAAACCGAACCATCCATCTAAATTTCGGCCAATTAGTTTATGCCAAACAGTCTATAAGATTATTGCTAAGATTCTGGTTGCCCGTATCAAGTGTATTCTGCCCAATCAGATTTTAGAAGAACAAGCGGCATTTGTGCATGGTCGGTCTATTTCCGATCATTGCCTGCTGGGGCAAGAAATTGTGAATAAATTCGGAGTGTCTAAATCCACTAGGGGCTGGATGGATTGGAAGGCGGATATGGAGCAGGCTTACGAAAAAATGAGCTGGAGAACTCTTGAATTGGTACTCATGAAGATGGGTTTCCCGCTGAAGTTTTGCAAATGGGTGCTGAACTATGTGACCACACCTCGGTTCTCTATTCTGGTCAATGGGACCCTTACGGAGGGGATTACGGCGGGCTGCGAATTCAGACAGGGGTACCCGTTGTCCCCCTATCTGTTTATTATGTGCTCGGAGCTTCTCTCATTGCACTTTCATCAAAACTATCAGAAGCTGGGCGTTCAGATCCGGACGAGGGGACCTCTCGTGTCCCACCTTCTTTATGCTGACGATGTTTTATTTTTTGCAGGGGTGACTACCGCTAATGTAAGGAAATTCTCATCAATCCTGGAGGACTAATGCAGCTAGACTGGTCAACGAATTAATAAGAAGAAATCTGCTATCAGGTTTAGTAGACTTGTGCCCTCATCTACTAAAACTCGTCTGTCTAGGCTTGCGGGGTACTGTAAGGTGGAGGAAATGGACTATCTCAGAGTCAAATTTGCAATGCGAAGGCTTACTAAGGTTGACTTCTGTTTGCTGCTTCATAAGGTGAACACGCTAACGACCTCCTGGGGAACCCGTCACCTTTCCTTGGCTGGCAGAATCACGATGATCAACTCGGTGTTAATCCCTCTTTCAACTTATGCGGTGACGCACACTTTGGTGCCGCGGGGGGTTCTTGCGGAGGTCGAAAGACTTTGTCGAAGATTTCTTTGGGATAGAGATACAGAACATAGGAGTATGCACTATGTGGCTTGGGGGGATATTACTAGACCCAGGCGGTATAGGGGCTCGGTTTCCATGCTAGCCACAAGTGGGTTGGGCCGCTGCGGGCTAGAATCGCGTGGGACTTCCTGCAGAAGCCTCAAAATCTGTTTCAGAGGTGCATGAGGCATGCTTATGGAGTTTGGCCGTGGCAGCAAAATCGTAGACGAGGGGATTCTGGACGGTGGAGAATTATATGTAATGGGGCGGACAGTTTGAGTAGTGTTGTTCGCTGGAAGGTGTGCAATGGAGTCAAGATTGACATTGTAAATCACATATGGATCATGGATTTGGCAATTTCTTTATGGACTACCTTTTGTAACATTGAAAGGATTGAAGGCTGCTCGGTCAGCGAATTTATTAAGCCAGACAACTGTTGGGATCACCGTAAGCTGCTAATGTGTTTTGGAGAGGCTCTCGTGGATAGAATTTGTGATGTTAAGATATGGACGGAAACGAATGTAGACTCGCTGGAGCTCATTAAATGTCCCATTGGCACATCTATCTCGGCGATCTGCTATGCCTCTTTGTTCCAATGTGAGGAGGACCAAGTGTGTACTATCCTAAAGCTTGGATTAAGACCCCGTGAACGTATTTTATGGTGGCGGGTTTACATGGAGGTCATCCCAACGTGCGCTTGGCTCCATAGGCGGGGGCTGTGTGCTGATGTGTTTTGCCCTTTGGGATGCAATCAGGTCGAGGACCTGAACCATATAACGACTCAGTGCAAGCAATTAGAGGAAGTCCTGAGACGTCTGGAGGCTTGGGGGTTTCCCACTCCGAGATTTTCTTCTTTGGAGGATCTTAAGTGTGCGCTGAAGGGGGGGCTACTGACCAAGGCTCGGTGGCCTCTTCTCTACTGTGCGGCTGTGCACCTTTGTTGGGGGAATAGAAATGCCATTCGTCACGACAAG